ACACCCCAGTCGAAATCTTTAGCCGATTATCTCAAAAGTTTTCACTTTTGCTAGGGATAAACGAATCTCACTAAAAATTTTAGCAAAATCATGTTTAATTCTTTCTGCTCCTGCACAGCTGATTTAAAAAAAATGAAAAAATTTAAGATATGACTAAATGCGACATTAAAGTAACTCATGTAATATTTGATTTGGATGGACTGCTGCTTGATTCGGAAACTATTTATACACGAGTAAATGAAGAACTAATGCAGAGCTATGGAAAAAAGTATACAATGGAGTTGAAAACTAAAACAACGGGCATGAAATTGGATGAACTAGTAAATGTGGTGCTTGAACATGTATGTACAGTTTTTCCGTTTTGAACAAACGCAGGCTAAGGTGAAGAGAGTAGCATGAGGAGAATGTTGCAGTTAGATGTTGCAGATGTTGCAGTTAAATAAGTTGTTGCAAGCTCTCAGAGATTAAATGCTTGCATTCGTGCTAACAAGAGACTATCACGATATTCGCTTAAATTAACCTGAAAAAGAAAAGCATGGAGAATTCTGGATCTGCAGCGCACTTCTTTCTGCATTTATAATATCAGCGCACAATATACGCGCACTGCTGTCACACGGTCTTATTCTTGGAAAATAAGATGGGGTGATATATTAGAAAACTAACCATTTATTCTACCTTATGCCACACTCACTCCATGGTTCTCCAGCAATCATTATTTCAGCGAAGAAGGAACGCCTTTCCTGAAACAAATGAATGCGGGATTTTCTAGTTTAGGAAGGTTTGACGGGTAAAGTAACATTCGAAGAATATAAGAAGCGGTATCTCGAACTTTCTGCTAAATATCTTCCTGAATCAAAGTTAATGCCTGGGGCGTTGCGACTGGTAAAACATTTCGCCAAACATAATGTTCCGATGGCTTTATGTACTGGTTCAAGTACCTTCGAATTTGACTGCAAAATGAAGAATCAGGGAGAGCTCCTCAGTTTGCTGAAAATTCGGGTAAGAATGTTTATAATTTTTGCACCGTGTAAAATGCGTAAATCAATCATTTATACCTTAGCAAAAAAAAAAAACGAATTTATTAAGTAAAAAAATCTGCAAGTGGAAGCAAAAACGGTAAGAGCAATTCAGAGAACAATTTATTCAACCAAATAAATTCTAAGCACAGGTAGCAGGTAAAACTGGAAATAAAGTTTTATAAAGTTAAAAAATGTCGAAAATACTAAGACCATTCGCGCTATCAGAATATCTCATACCACTGAGACGCTTCCGCATGTCAGGTGCAGTTACATGAGATTCTTCGAACTTATGCTGTATATCTTCAATTAGTATCCACCCTCTGTCAGTATGTTTGTACCACGTTCTCAAGGACTGCGCGAAAAGGTGGTACAAATACGTTAACAGGTGGTGGATACTAAATATAAATCGCTCACTTCCTTTGGTACCATTATTTCGTGCGCGACGTCCACAAGTTTTCAGCAAAGTGGACAAGTCCTGCACATTGGCTTTACTTTCTCACGTGATCGCAGCGATGTCTTTCTTATCGCTTACGTCACGCAAGTTGTAATTTATCTCGATCTTGAGCTGAGTACTGTTTTCAGACCGAGAATTTTCGGAATCTACTTAGAAAGACTGAGGCTTCTGCCCATCATGTCCCATAGGGATGACAACTGAATTTTTATATTTCACTGAAACTGCAGCAGCTTTAATCCGGCAGGCTGTTTTTCTTGCACTTTCAGTAGTTTTTGTGCTTTCTGTTTAGGTTGCCACTAAGGATAAACGAAAGACTGCTCCATATGTCCATCGAGCATATGAGTTGCAGTTCCTACGTCTCCTAACATTCACTCTAGCTGGC